TGGAGTGGGGGGGGATCCCGGTCGCTGCCGGGCTGGGTCGCTCAGTGAGTAGGGCAGAGGTTGGCCGTTCGGTTCCCCCTCCCGGGAGGAGAGCCCCCCTGGGCGGCCTTGGGCAAAAAGGCTGCACGGGCCCCAGACGGGAAAAGGGTCGCCCTAAGTCAGAAGGGTGCATGACAAGGATTCATGTACATCCGTGTGTGTGTGTGTGTCTGTGTGCCGATATATTAAAAATTTTGGATTCGGTCTCAGTTTTGTATACTGTAGTTGTAACTGACACACCGATTTCCTTCACATAACTCTGCTTTGTTAGGGACTGGACCCCAACAGAGCTTTCAAAGTACAGTAGTAACTGATGTATTTAAGGAGCGGTTTTACCGGTGTTAGAAAAATTTAGGAAACTGACTGTTTAACCAAATCTGTTATGAAATTCAAGACTCTCAAACAGGCAGACTCTCTGGACACTGTGTTGGGTATTCAGACACAGGCCTGCGAGCCCTCCTCCCTCCTTCCAGCTACCAAGCCACGCTGGCTATCTACTTAGGCACAATTATCTAGTTGCTGAAGAGGGCATGGGCTGAATCAGTGCTCTGACTGGTGGTTGTGGGTGCCTTTGAGCCGTACTAAAAGCCTATGCATGCTGTAATTGCCGCCCTCCCCCCTTGCTCATTTGGTCCCCACCCCTCCACCATCAAGGTTAAGAGGCAGCGGGGGGGGGCATAGTGTTGGATGTGGGGGGAGGAGGGGGCCCAGGGAAAGAATGAGGGAGCAGCATCACCCCCTTTCTGTGCTGCCCAAGAAGGGAGATACTTGCTAAGAGAGCCCATAATAATGGGACTGGATGCGGTCAAATCAATTCTGGTTTATGGTAACGCTTTCCAGAGTTTTCTAGGTAGAGGATGCATAGAAGTGGTCAAACCCCCAACCCTGGCACCTGAGCCATGGCGCTCTCCAGCCCGCCTCCAGCCGCTAACGGTTGGACACCAGGCCGTCCTCTGGGCCCTGAAGACCAAGGTTGGTCTGTTGAAGCCTTCCCTGCCCCTTATCTCTGTTCTAAGCCGTCGGCTGAATCTCTTCTGATGGTGCTACAAAGGTTTGGTGATTCCCAGCGTGGTGTACTGGAAAGAGTGAATGACTACGTCTCTGGAGAACAGGGTTCAAATCAATGCTGGGTCATGGAATCTCACCGGGGGGGGGCATGGGTGGGTGAGTGGAACTAGCGAAGCATCTCCTTCCCGTAAAAGCCCTTTTGGGGTGGACGATCAGTCCCTTCCGACCTGACAACACAGAAGACACACACGGGGGTGAGACGGGGCTCAGCTGCCCTTGGGCTGAGCCAGTGATGTGGCCTTCCTCCACTTCCTGAGGCACAGCTGTTGCCTTGACGATATCTGGATGGGCCCAACTCCCCAAATGACTGTGCCTTCCGCCCCCCCTGCCCCCGCCCTGTGGACCCTTCTTGTGGAATTTGCTGTCTGGATGGGCCCAACTCCCCAAACAACTGTGCCTTCTGCTGCCCCCCTGCCCTGTGGACCCTTCTTGTGGAATTTGCTGCCACCTGCTTTGGCTTTGCCAACAGACCTGCTGGAATAGGAGGTCCCCCCGCATGGCAGGAATGAGTGGCAGAGCTGTGCTGGTCTGTGGCCTTCCGAGGGCTTTGGCCACCCCGGTCACCCTGTGCTCCCCCATCTCTGGCACCTCCCTCCCCAGGAGACTCTCTCTGCAAAAGAGAAAGACCCCCCTGTGATGGGTTGCTGCCAGACAACTGCCCTGGGCGGTTGGGCTAACCAGAGGAGGGTGACCCAGAGTCCCTCAAGGCCTGGATGGTCCTCGTGGACTCTTCCCCTCCAAAATGACTAGGCTTTGGGGCTTCTGTGTTGGAAGCCCAATGTTATTTACTTTCCCAGCAGACTGGATGGGCAGTCCTGGTGGCTGCTGAGCTTCTTACTCTGTGTGCTGCTGAGCCCAGCATGCCTCTCCCTCTCCCCACACTCACAGGTTGGGGCTCCCTCATCGCACACAAACCCCACTCTCCTGGGGCTTTGATGGTTCACATGTTCCCTGGGACTGGCAGGGGCAGGATAAATCTGCTGGCTTGGCTGCCAGGGTGGAGGGTTTTTAAAGCCCACAAGATGCTGCCTCTAAAAAAAAAAACTCCTGCCCCAACCCCTTCTCTGCAATTTGTGTGAAATATCTCTAGGGGACTTTCTGGTTAAGGAACAGCATGTGTGTGAAGGTATGTATGCATGTGTGCATGCACACACACAGAGAGAGAGAGAGACAAGGCATGTATGCGTGTGCGCGTGCACACACACACACACAGAGCAGTACAGAAGGACTAACATAAAGAAAGATGCTAAGTGTCCACCGAGAGTCTCAGAGTCTGAAAGCCACTGACAACTTGAAGCTTGATGGTGCTCTTGGAGGCAGAGGCGGGCAATTTTAGTGTAAAAGAAGGTCCTGCTCAGGCGATCTTAAGAGGGAGATCCATCCCTTCAAATAGGTTTGCCTCAAGCCATTTATGGTTTTTTAGGTCATAACCATCACTTTGAATTGGGCCTGGAAGTGGACTGGCAGCCGGTGCAGCTGTAATAATGGACCATTGTTTGCTCCCTATAACCGGCCCCAGTTGGCCCTCTGGCTGTGGCCCTTTGAAGCAGCTGAAGTGTCTGAACAAAAGGAATCCCACAGAGCGCATACTGCAGTAATCCAGGCAGGAAGTAAATAAAGTCATGCACTGCTGTCGCCAGATCAGACGCCTGAAGGAAGTGGTGCAGCTGGTGCACCAGTTTTAACTGTGCAAACGTGCTCCTGGCCACTGCTGAAACCTGTGCTTCCCGGCTCAGGGCTGCATCCAGGAACACACCCAAGCTGCAGGCCTGACTTTTCAGGGGAGTGTCACCCCATCCAGGACAGCCTGAATGCCTGTTCCATGAGCTGCCTTTGGAATGATGAGGGACACCTCTTGTTGAGGAATGTCTGCAATTCTGCATGCAGATGTAATGTATGTTCATTTATTTTAATTTTATGTTTATTTGTTTAAAACACCTTTACTCCACCTTTCTCCTTTAAAAGGACCCAAGGTGACTTACATCCTGTTGGAGGAAGGAATCTTTCACCCAACAAGCTTGTTTGCTTGGTTGCTTGTCCCTTACTCACCAATTAGAGAGCCCCTTCTTTTCACAGGTCAAGAAGACCCATCATCCCCTTGCTTGACCTATTAGAATGCTTTATTATTCATTGTTCTGAGTTGGTTGATCCCAGCATGACCCAGAAGAAGAGTGTGGAAGCTGAGTAAAATGCTCCATTCAAGGCAGGTCATTTCTGGCTCACTGTGGCTGAGAGAGAAATACATTTGTATCTTTACTTCTTTTATTCTTCTTCCTTCTGCTAACCTCTGAATGCAAGAGAAGGCAGTGAGTAAAACTCTTTTTTTATTTTTATTTTTTACTTTTATCAATTGGTCTCTGAAGGATTACTGTGGCTGGTTAGATGCAGTGGAAGGGGTTAGGGAAACTTGCTTTCAATTTTAACTCCAGGGTTGCAGCTCTTCCCTTGTGTAACAGAGAGGAATTAAAGGTATTCTGTGTCTAATATTACCCCCATGTCTGATATTCCATTTTTAGGCAAAGTGTCTTGGCTTCTCAGCTCCAGGGGCAGGGCAAGGGGAACGTGTCCCTGCCAGTTCTGCTCCATCTCTCAGAGAGATTACTTTGTCAAAAAGTCATCAAAAGGTTCAGCATGACTAAGAGGGACAAAATTCCCTTGACCAGTTCCTACCCTAGATCATCCACCCAGGTGACCAGAGGCCGTCCCATAACGAGGAGGCCGGAGGCCAGACTGAAATATTTACGCACACACACACACACACACACACACACACACATTTGCTTTATCCAGAAACCCTGGAAGTGGAGCTGCCACCACACCCTTCAGCACCTTGACCCAAAATGGAATGTTGGGCACTGGCGAGTGATGATCTTGTGTGTGTGTGTGTGTGTGTGTGTGTGTGTTTGGGGGGGAGGGTTCAGTGAGGATCTTCTTGCTGCTCCTTCACTTAAGAGGTGCTGGAATCCTGCCTTCCTGCAAAGAGTGATTCACCCCCTCCTCACACCTGCTAGGCCAGTCCTCAGTTTGCTGCGATGGCCCAGAGAGGGCCTGAGTCCCTGCCCAGGCTCAGCTGCCAGAGACGACTGGCCGACGGTTCGCTCTCCCCCATCAGATGCAGAGAGGGAGGCGGGTTTGATGAAGGAAATGCAGCCGAAGCACTGCCCTAGCTGGG